GTGTGTGTGTGTATTTTTTTGAGTCTCGGCGGCAGTAACAGTTCTGCCTTACCAGGGCTGCTCAGTGAACATGCTCACATTGCTCAATCAATGATCAAGCGAGATAAACAATCAACAACTCTGCCTCAACAGACCACACATACATGTAAACGTGCTTGTGTTTATTTGTGTATCCATTTGCACCAAAGCACAGCAGAACAGATACAGCAAACCAAATCCACCTGCTATCTCTGACACATGCAATAACACTGGGACGCAGGGAATTGTGAAAGCATATCCACTGTAGTTTAATGCCTATACAGATCCTGCTAATTCAAATGTAAAAGTTACGGTTCAACACAGAAAAATGCTTCCTATTTAACACACTGAGCTAATTTTGACAGCTGTTATCAAGCCAATAGTTTTTGTAGGAGGATATCAGAACAGGTTGCAGTAATTGGTCTCTCCCACTTTCCAGCAGGTCTTCTCGTTAGGCTTTAGGCAGAGGAAGCGAGGGCTCAGCTTGGGAAGCCAACTTAAATCCTGGTGGCATTTTGTGCCCTTTACTTTGACCTGGATTCATTGAAACTGTGAGCATGAAGCCTTTATCTTAAGACTCTAGAAACCAGTTAAAAGTGTATGAATGCTCTTTTTGCTTTTCTTTTTCTTTCTTTCTTTTCATAGTATTACTTAATTGAAACAGAATATGGCAAAACACCATGTACACCTTGCAGTATAATGCAAACAGTGTTTGCTTTAACCCCCTCTCTTCCACTCCTTGTCTTGTATCCAACAAATCTTGCTTGGTGAGGACTGGGGNNTTTTTTGTTTTTAATATATTTTGGGGGATTTTTATGCCTTTATTAGATAGGACAGTTGAAGATAGGCAGGAAAGAGGGGGAAGAGAGAGAGACGACAAGCAGCAGGGCTGCAGGTTGGAATGAAACCCACGCCACTGCAATAAGGACTCAGGATACATGGGGCTATCGAGCGCCCTGATCTCTGTTTTTAATGAATAATTTTGCTTCTTTGTTGTATGTGCATTTATTGTCTTTTAAATCGTCTGCTGTTTTATGAGCTTGATATCTGTTGCCATGTACTTCGATTTTGAGTGCCCTTTATCACCCGGTACCCAGCTAAAATTAGCTTTAAGGCTAACTGTGGCTTATTTGGATCATTTTACCTAATACAATTTATTTAATTCTGGAAAATGATATAGTATCACTCACAAATTGACACCAAGCTTCACAATGACACTCTTCTATTGCAGCGTGATTGTATTGTATTGGATTGCATTATACTTAAAAGTTATTCACAATACACCCATGAACTTTCGGTATTTGCAGGTTTCTTTAGGTCACTTGTGTGTTTGGTGAATGTGTTTCTGGATTTTCCAATATTACTTGTTTGCAGTAATATTATATATAATGTGTGCGTACCTGCTGATGGACAAGGTGCAGTCGATGGCGGGCCGTTTGGTCTTGGGGATGGAGTAGAGTGGGTAGCGGTCACCATGGCGAATCATCACCTGGACAGACAGCAGCTTGTAGTCAGCAGGACTGTGACCTGTTGGAGGAGATGCCCATCAGCATTCAATCCAACAAGTAGTGTAAAGAACTGCTATTTTCAGTGATAAGTGGCCATAAAAATTACTGGCCAGTTTTAAAATATACAGAAGGCCCAACTCTACTCGTAACTATAAAAACTAAATCAATAACTGCTCAACTCAGGACATCGACTGAGGGTAAGAGAGTTAATACACATCACATCTTACAAAAGCAAATGTTAATTTAATTAATCTTGCAGACATGCCACATAAGCAGCAAGACAAGTAACATCAAACCAATTTGTTCATTGGCTGTGAGTGCAAAGTATGGACTGTGGGCTGTCTGTGTGTGTGTGTGTGAGTGTTTAACAGTAAATTAAGAAGATGGAAGAAACCAGGACACTTTGAAAATGATCATGTCACAGGGAAAATAACACCACCTGAAAAAAAAACCACTTGTTCGTGATTGATTTTCAATTACTTCCAATCTAAATCTAAAAGGTGTAATGGATTTTTCTTCTTTGGAGACAAAACTGCCATCCAGAGATAAACAGAGTAAAATTCAATTAGCGGTGGCTGGTATAACTTGTCTTAGGCGGTGAAGGATATTTGTATGATCGCCTCGGGCTGTGCTGCCTTTTCAGTGGAGGAAAAAAATAAAACAAGGCTACATGCCGCTGTGCCGTAGAGAGAGAGAGCACTGCAGTATTATGGATGATGCAATCTAGTGGAAATGACTTTCGCACAATTAACACATCCCCCGAGTCCTGACACACTAAATCTGATATTATTACTATATTAAGTATTTATACGCTGTCCATCAGACGGGGTGATTCTAGCAGCTGATCTAAATTTGTTTTTAATGCTCTGAAACGGTGATGCTGTGACACTTGCTGCTGCTTAGTTGGAAATAATTAACTTAGTAAGTTCATGTTGCTGGTCTCATAGGAGATAAGATTTAAAGTCTTTCAGGAACATAAATTGTAGATGTAACCAAGAAATCACATATTGCATCCACATGCTTGCAGTCTTTTAGTTAGATTAGATTTGTGTGTGCAGGTCTCACCCTCCCAGGCCTGTTCGGTGCGGTTGGGAGTGTTGCAATAGCCGTAAGCCTCAGATATGGGGTTGGGTTCCTGGGTGTGAGGCACCGGGAACACTCTCTTTCTGCTCTTCCCCAGAGCCACGACAACACCTCCATCTGCAGCCTGGAAGGGTCGCTCCTCCACTATGGGGGTGGTGGGGATCAGGTTCACTGCAAAACAAATGAAAGAAAATGAAAGGTTGCCAGGAGAGAGGTATAAAGAAAGTGAAAGAGTGGAGGCCAAGTTAAAAAAATAAAGGAAAACAGAGGAAAACAAGGCTCAACAAGCTCAACAAGGCTCACTGTTTAGCTCCACAAACACATATGTGCAACCACAATCATGGCTATCAAACTTGAAAGTTCAAGACTGAAGGTTGATGATTGGCTTGTTGGTCTGTGGTGCCCCCGACCCAATCACGTAAATGTAAATGTTTTAACAAAGAATACATGTGGCTTTCTTCTTCAACGGGAGCGTTCCTGTGTGCACACTGTAGATTTGTCCACAGCGCCAACTACAGGCCGGAGAGCTCTGGCAACTCAGCACAGAACTGAGCACGACTTGTGACCACCTGAAATCGGAGTTGGCATGAAAGTTCCACAGAGACCCTGCTAGAATCTCAGTAGTCTAGCAGCACTGTGAGGCTGTGGTTAGGCACAATGGTGCTTTGAGCTAAATGTCAGCATGCTAACACGTTCACTGTGATAATGCTAATATGTTCGCCATTTTGTTTAGTGTGTTAGGATAGTTAACATTTGCCAATTAGCTCTAATCATAGGTATCAACCAAAGTACTGGACAAATTAAATTAATCGAACCTGATGATGGCGCTAGATGAAAGATTAAATGGAGTTGATGTATGATGTCTTCACTTAAGACAAAACTGTAGAAGAAAGATTTACAGGCATAATTCAACAAGAAAAGTAAAAAGGCTGCCTGATGGAAAGTGCCTAAAATTAAGAAAACCAATTCAACTATAGTACATCTCCATGTCAACAGCTCTGTACCCCAAAAACCCCTCACTGCTACCAGTGTGTTGCCTGGACGACAGTGACCTGTGACCCCTGGGAGAAATGGTCCAATAGGAGCAGAGATGTTGTGGGAACTGGATGGCCCATTCACGAAGATCCAACTCTAAAGAAAAAGAAGTTGAACCCATACGGCCCTTTGGCAAGACAGATATCCAAGTCCTGCTTATGTCTCTCTCACACACACACACACACACACACAAGCTGGCAAGTCAACTGTGCAAATATTACATCCTGCTGCAGAGAAAAAAGAGGCCCTGCCTGATAATAAAGCACAAAGAGCTAACGGTTCCTCATTGCTATAACAACCCTCAGATTGAAATGATCATCAGTGTAGGTGTATAAATAGTGTTACACGCTGTCTTTCTCTAGCGTTCACACAGTCACTGCAGTTTTCCGCTTGCCTCCTTCTACTTCTCTTACCTCTTCTCTCCAGCTGGGCTCACCACAGTTGTGTGTTGCTCTACACATTTTTCTCCCAGGATCATGTTTTTGTGGGAATGAGGCCGACTCCTTCCAAACCATCAACGTGATGTTCATGAAAGTGAATTTTGCCAAACACTAAAATAGCGGCAATTTCAATGAAAGAAAACTGACAGAAGGTTTAACAATCATATGAACTGTTTATCAAGGGAAAACGCCAAACCTTTACTGGTTCCGACCTCTCAAATGTGAGGCTTTGCTCCTTTTCTCAGTTTTATATCTTGCCCTAGATCATTTGGTCGGACAAAAGAAGCAATCTGAAGACATCTTCCTTAGGCTCTGGGAAACTACGATGGGTATTTTTAATTAGTTTAACTGGACATTTTATAAACTCAACTATTAAGTCGGAAAAATATCTTAATTATCTTTGAGTTCTGGACAAAACAAGCAATTCGAAGATGTCACAATTGTGACGCCCATTTTTCACACTGTTTTTCTGAAATTGTAAAGACAAAACGATTAACCAATTATTTTTAAAAAATAAAGAGATTAATCGATGCTGAAAATTATTTTAGTTGCAGCCCTAAAACTGCAATTGCATCACATTGCAAGATGAAACACCACGGATGCCTATATAAAACTTAAAATGCTTATCCTGTTTTACAAACTGAAGGGAATTTTTCAAACATTTAAGGATAAAAATAGATAAAACTTTCAGTGTCAACTGTAGCGAGACATTATTGTATCACTTCATCGGAACAGCTGTTGAAATGGCTACAGAGTGGGTGTGTTTTTTTCCCGAATTATCTTGTTTAAGTAGTAGATACATACTGAACTCAATCATGACTACCCATAAACAAAAAAGACTTGAAGTGTTTAAGGACAGCAAACTTAATCAACACTGAGAAACCTCATCAACCGGGCGGAAGCCTTGTCTTAAGTTAAACAAACACTTTATGAATTCCAACAAAGCCAAGGTCCAGCCAAACTTTGTTGAGGTTTACTTGGCATTGGGAACTACACCTAGATCAACACAGCAAGATATCTTCAAGTTACATAGTGGTGAAGATCTCCATTTCTACATTGGAAGTAGTAAGGTCTCCATTAAAAGAGTTTAGATTTTCTATATGAGGATTTCTGCATAAACTCACCACTGATGAGGAAGAAGAAAAGGTGCGCGGCCACAGTGGAGACCATTTTGACGACTGC